CTCTTTCCAGCATATGGATTATGCCATTTATCAACCTGAACAGTGGGTCTGTTTTGAACATTGTTTTTTGATGCCTGAATATTCTGGCCCAGTCCTTACCTGATGCAGTGTAGAACGGCTCCACAGATGTCCTACTCAGGATCTAGTATGGTGTGTTCCAAGACATGCATTTTCAATTATTTCTTCTTGTTCAATACAGTTACATATTTCTTAATGGTTTAATGTGTTAAACATATTTTACTTTTGAACTTCATCGTCGATCTCTTCTGCCCTTAATGTCTTCTGCCCTGTCTCTAAGTTCAGGTTCCTTTCATCAACCTGGGAAGATTCAGTGGGTAATTTCTTTTCCATTAAAATATTATCTCACTATTTCAATAGCACGTAGTTTTAGAATAAACTTAATAGTATCCATTACTGAAAGATGACGTTAGTTTGATGCTTAATTATAGCTCTCAGGCGAGCCTTTAAAAATAACGTAATAAAAACATCAGCAAAACGCCTTCAATAAAAATAATTATAAAACATTTTACTCGTTTTCAATTTGACCGTATCATCAAAGATGCAGACGAAAATGGACCAGCTGGTTGTCATTTGCAGTATCTATCCGCTTTCACTTTTGCTCTCCTATATGGAAAGAGTAATAAAACAAGATTTAGACCAAATATGATTATATCCGTGTGTTTTATCTGCCTCAAAGCATTAAGGAAGAATGGAAAGCAATTTCTCTTAAACTTTGCTTCAAAGCACATATAAAAGCCTAACAACATTTTGGATTTGTTAGTTAACTTTGTTTTATTAAGGAGCTAGAACTGCAATGTCTAAAGTTAACCTTGTCTTTCCCTTCAAATCACCATGAATTGCGTTTTGTCCAGTCTGAAGCATGTAATTCAGATTCAGGGTGATTTGAAACTAATACTCAACCTGTGATGGCTCAGGAGTGCTCTCACATCACTTGCAATTACCATAAATAGTCTTCTGCATTCCACCCACTGAATTAATGCAAATATTTATACTGTATCCCGATATAAAATGTTTTAAAAATTCAAGAGTTTCTATAGCCTTAGCTTAGGAGGGGGAAAAAAAAAAATTCTTCCCACTAGATAACATAAAGACTGTTCCTAATAAATGCTATTTCTCTTTAAAATGCAGCTTTCCCCTCTCCAAAATGTTCTGGTGCCATAGGTATTGAAAATGTTAAAAATTAGCTTAATTTTTGTGATTTAAAAGATTCATTCCTCAACTCCTCTGTACTAAACAAACCGAACAACCTAGTTAAAGATTTCCAAAAGAATTCATCTCTGGGTAAATCCAAACCCACAAACTTCAGCTAAAGAAGTGAAAATTCAGAACCAAAAAAAAAAAAAAGCCAACCCCAGAACTCAGGCAGAACACTGACCAGAGAGGAAATGCTCAACACCCCACCCCCTTGAAACCTAGCTTTCTTTTGTACCCCAGGTTTACTGCAATTCCATCTCCCAGTAGTTTCTAAATCAGTACATTATTTCTTGTACTTTGAAGTACCTGTCAAGCAGCATTTCATGAAAAGTGCCTTCTTTCCTGGCTTTTCTGAGGGCTTTTGTATCTTCTTTGCTTATTTTAAGCTTTTTGTCTTGAAAACTTTGGAATTTCTTTCTGGAAGGGGGGGGGGGGGAATGTAAAAAGTGTAACTTGTTTAAAGTTTTGTATTTCAATAAAAAAACACCAGTGATAAGAATCTTAACTTCTATTATGTAGTAGACAACTGGCCTAATAAAATCCAGCAAGCCATCACAGTATCAAATATTGCACCAAGACTTCTGTAGGTGAAAACTACTCAGGTTTTTTTGGTAGTCTAAGTGGGATACGATTAGCACAATGTCGTTACAAGTTCTAGAGAGCCCCTTCTTCAACTACTAGCATGACAAGTGAGGGAGCGAAAGTGTATTGGGTGTAGGTGGCAAGGTGCTGGTAGTGGGGGAGCTGCAGGGGTGGCCTCTATGAGAAGAGGCCAGGTGCTGCCCCAAGCTGGACACAGCTGGCTCCACAACAGACCAACTGCAAGACACAGCCGAGTCCATCAGCAAAGCTGGTGGCCTTTAAGAAAGGGCAAAATGCCACACAGGCAGAGGAGAAGAGAGAAAAAGAAAAAAGTGCAAAATGGCAGTGTGAGCATTAAGGACAGAGAAGGCAAGGGAGGAGGCACTTCAGGTGCTGGAGCATACTCCCCTCTAGCTTGTGGAGAGGACCATGCCAGAGCAGGGGAAAAGTGGGAGAGGAAAGGAATGGCAGAGAGAAACCACTATGTATTAACCCATACCCCCATCCTGTTTTGGGGGAGCTCGTAGAGGAGTCTGGAGTGAAGCTGAGCTTGGGAGATGGGGGAAGGAAAGGTGTTTTTAATTTTTATCTTTGTTTCTCACTACCCAGATCTACTTTAATGGGCAATAAATTTAATTAATTTTCCACAAGTTGAGTCTGTTTTGCCTGTGACCGTAACTGGTACACCATCTCCTTATGTCTTTATCTTGACCCATAAGCTGTCTCATCCTCTTTTCTTCCCTTGTCCTGCTGAGGGGAAAGCGAGTGAAAGGCTGGGTGGGAGTTTGGCTCTTCCACCAAAGGCGGCCCCAAAGAGAAGCGAAAAAAGATACTTGAGCCTGTTAACAGCTCTAAACTACGTACACATAATTGATTTCACACTGTTTAACATTTCCTTTGTCTTCTTGTGGAACATCATCTTTCTTCTTAGTTTCCCTTTCAGCACAAGTACGAATCTAGTCATTGAGAGGGAAAAAAAAAAAACAAACAAACCAGAAAATGCCTATTTGTTTTTTTTAAAACCAGAAGTTACAGGTTAAAGACAACAATATATCCTTCATAACAGAGTGAGAGTCATGGTGACTTTTTAAGTTCACAGCTTTCAAATTGGTTCATTCGCAACTGGAGACAACCACAATAAAAGCAAGAGCTTCCTGAAGTATGGGAAGTATTTAGTGTAATCCTTGATACTACTGTAAGACATAATTGCCTTCATCTCAAAGAAGCACCATAACAGTTCTTAGTTTTAGCAGGGTTAAAATGCCTTTTTCAGAGACTGACTTAAAAATGTTATTGCTCTGACTACTAGACACCTATCTCTATTTGGAGGCACACATGTATTTTCCATGTCCAGATGAAGTCAAGATAGTCTTTTTGCATTCTCCTCCCTAAAAGATCTCCCCTTCTGCATCATTCCGGTAAACCCTTCTCTGTTCCTGCTTCAGTCATAATTCACGTCTCCCGTACCGAGCTGTTCAGAACTATCTGGAATATCACATACACTGTATTGCCTCCAAAACGTCTTGCCCTTCTGTAGTGGTAAGATAACTTCTATCTCTACTGGAAGTATCTCAGTTTATGCAGCCCTGGAGCTCATTTGCCTTTCTTGTGGCCAAATCACTTGGCAGCTTATAGAAAATGACTATAACTGTATTAACAGTAAATTGTAGCACACAGACACCTGGTTGTTTGAATATCTGTGCCAATCCTGTATTAACTGTAGAAGTTATAGATTACCTTTATCATTTCTTCTTCCCCTGCAGTTTTGCTTTTGGCTTCTATGTCTCCCTCTTCATTACATCTAATAAAACGGCTATTTGCTGCTAATAATGCCATTTTCTTCTGCAGAAATAATATCACATATTGTTAGTATAAGGATTATATACAAATTCTGATTCACAATATTTATCCTCTACAACACACCAGAAAGCTCTGTAAATGCGTTTTATTCTTTTATATATTGACACTTCAATAGCTAGCCAGCAGACTTGCTGGCTCCTTCATTCTTAAGATGCTTATAGCTGCCAAAATGCAGCAGTTGGGAAAATAGAAGGCTAAAAGTTACAATATGGAAGAGATTGCAAAAGGCTTTTACTGCACAGACAAAGAACATCAATATAGATTAACTCAAAATACAGTCAAATACTAGGAACAGCAGCTTACATCTTGGAAGACAGGTTCCCACTGCTCTCTTGATCCTATTGCATCTGAACGTCCAACAACAAGTCCATCTGAATTTATACCAAGGTATTTGCCATAACCAGACTTCAGAGCAATCCTCAAAGAGAAGATGCAGGAAAACAATAAAGAATGTTTTTAATCCAAGCAATTCACAAGCAATATCCAACACATCACAAACACATTATTAGTAGGCCATGTATTTCAAGAGAATATTAAAACATGTATTCACACCAGAAACAAAGATAACAAATATCAAAACTTGTAACATTTTGTTACAGTAATTACCTTGTATCAGACAACTTTACTGCTGTAAACTGTTCAGGAGGACTAGGGCCTTCATCATCTGAGGAATTAATTTTCCATTAGTTAGGTATGAATTATTAAACATACAATATTTTAACCTGTTAATACTGCAGTTTCAAAAAGAATGAAACAACAGCCATTGCAAAATACTATGGAAAGTTGCAATACTTCTATTTCTTTGAAAATTCCTTTTTTGAATATTCACTTTTAAAAAAAGCAATGCAGGTGCTTATTTATGTTCATGTATTTAGACTGCTTAAACAAGACACAAAATAAAGACAAACCTTGTGTAAAGAAATTTACAGTTGAGAATGTTTTGTAATTCTCCAGGTGGCTCTGAAAACCTTGATCTCCTTGTAATGTTATTTTTTCCATAACCAATGTATTACGGTTCAACTATGGTAACACAGCTCAGTATCCTAAAAGCTACTAGCCTCTCCATCCCTCAAAGCCAAATGAGCTAATATTGCCATTGTTGCTTTCATCTCAACCTGGAAGTGAAACACGCTGCCAGGGTTCTGGAACAGTCCTTGTCTCACCGACGGCTCTCAAATTCAAAGTAAGGACTAGCTAATGACCCCACCATGTTAGTAGCCCACTTGTGCAGCACAAAACAAGTATATTAAGACAAGAATGCAGCAATAAGCCTTGAAACTCATCTGCCTTGAGTTTCACTCTTCAAATGACACCATAAAGTTTTTATAGGATTTAATGTAAGTTATACTGCTTTTTATCCTGTAAGTGGTATGGCCTTTAACAGGTGATCATCTCCAAGGCAGTTCAATTTATTGTACACATAAAACAGCAAGAAATTAGGTAAGTGAAACTGATCAGTAGTCATTAGGTTTAAGTCATCTGCATGCTACAGCTAGGATTATTGCATTATTTGTAATAAACTGCTTTTAGCTGTAAAACTGCCTGCCTTTAAGTGATGCTACTTTTATGCCTTTCATTACTAAAACTGCTTATTTCCAAATTTCCTGAAACAAACCTTTATGTGGTGCTCCAAGCGTAAACAAGCCGTTGTCAAGGGCATGGATGTAAGCTCCTTTATCCATTTCTATGGCTATAGTTCCTGTAATTTCACCAAAATTACTGATAGCCCACCAGTTTCCTAAAATACAATACCATGACAGTTAGTAATTACAACTTGTGACTACAGTAGTTCAAGAGATGATATTTCTATGTCTTCTCTGAGATTTGAAATTCTGAAGATAGAATTGCTATTGCTATCTCAAGATCTTTGTGCATTATTTTATACTATAGAGCCAATTTAATGGTGTTGCTGCTGAAATGAAGTCCTGCTGTTCTACCCACCCTGCCATCCCTAGTCCCAGGCTCCTGCGCTTCATCCCTTCTTTGTGTTAGTCCATAGAGCAAGTTGATCCATTCAGCTGATCCAGCAAAGATACACCTTGCAAGGGAGGTATCTTTTTTTCCTGCAGTTTTGGGGTCATATCCAATTATTAGATTCTCCAACACAACAGAAACAGATAAGCTATCTCATCTTGCTGTTAAATTATTTCATGTGAGTTGTAATCCTTAGACTTCAGTTGTTCAAGCCAATCTGTGTTTGAATGTTTGAGCCCCACAGAATTCTACCAAAGTTAAAGGTAGCCCTACCCACATGCATGAAATAGAATTATGATGTTTATATTTTTTAAACAGTAAAATTTCTCCTGGTATACTGTCTTACAAATATTTTCTACCTGATTAAGAGAGTAACTATTTTTAATTAACCTGAATATGACGTCTTTTTTCCATCTGGTAAATTTGGCAAGTCAATCTGCCTTGAGCAGAAATAATCTTCCCCTATCTTTATACAACATATGGAGCTAATTGTCTTGCGCTATACAGTCAGGGCTCACAGATCAATGTATGAATTTTCCAAATCTCTCCCACTTTTTCGAAATCTGGCTAAACTAAAGAATGCAGAACATCTGTAACATTCTTCTAGTGTAAGACACAACAGGCCATTTTCTCATATATCATAATTTGTTTTAACACAGGAACAAGGATGACTTCCCCTTGCACTGCTTTAGCTTATGCCTATATACACGTAATAAAAAATGACATTTATCCTGTAATGTGCGCTGTGACCAGTATACATCCGCATCTCTCATGACTTTGTGATTCTTTTTTAGCTGTTTTTGTTTGTGAAGTAAAGTGTCATCAATCAAGGACATGACAGCGCCACAGGGCAACAGTCTGTCAAGTTACTCAAGATCATACATACTTTGATCCTTCTGTTTTACGAAAAAGGAAAAAGTAAAGTTATATTTTTTTACTGGGTAATGTTTGTGTCTTAAGTTTCAATTAACAGTAGCAAATTTATAATGTGAACACATCACAGCAGTCAAGAAAGTATACAAAATTAAAAACAAATAAACAAACAAAGACTCTTTTCCTTTTGAAAGTATCGAAGGTTTGAGTGAACTAAAGAACACAGAAAGTAACTAGTGGCAGAGTAAGAACAGAAAGCACAGGTGATCCAAGCACTAATTTTCAAAGTAATAGTAACCGAAGATGCAAGTCATTTACACAGAAATGCACTCATTAAATAACAGCATTACAGTGCTAAGAAGTCTCTCCTCCTGAAACAAATACCATTGGGGGGGGGGTTTTTGATCCAACCTGATAAGTAGCGTGAGGTTATATAAGAACATACTTTAGCTAAGAAGACAAGCGGAAAATCCATCCCACTGATGTCAGAAGCTCCATTTGGAGTCTAGGAAGATCCCAACATATAAATAACATGTTGCAAGAAACAGTGTACAGGGACTACACTTAGTTGACAAAGTCCTATAACAACCTCTTCAGCTTCTGCTATCCCCCACAGTTTCCACGCTGTCACGTAATTCCTGGAAAGAAGCTCACCAACAATATCGAGTTGCTCTGCCGTATCCTC